TTACCACAATTTACCATCAAATTAAACATGGTGAGCACATTTTGTTCAATCTTACTGATATTCTTTGTAGTTTTGGTTGTTCCGATTACCAATTGTGACGGTGGTGGTGTGTCAGTATGGCCGATATGGAACCTAAAAGACCCGAAAGTGGTATCTCTCGCAAATTTTGCACTGACAGACTATAACACGAAGGTTGATAAGAACTTGCACTTGGTGGATGTAATAGATGGATCGTATTCGGTGATTAAAGACGCCGTTGAACGTGATTATAATGTCAATCTAGTAATCAAAGCTAAAGATAACAGTACTACTGTTCGACCCAAAAAATACGAAGCAACTATCTTCTACAGGCCACGAAGAAAGGATCACCCCATGAAAGTCAAGCGCGTTGAGATATTTAAAAGTAAAATTCGTGCTTTTATATTTAAATTTATTATTATTTTTTTTCATGAAATAGATTATATTATATTATATTATTTTACTTGAGAATTTGCATTAGTAATTTTCTAAACTATATTATATTTATACATGCCTATTATATTCTAATATTTACAATATTAATACTTTGGGCAAGTGATAGAGTATCAATTAAGTTTTCTTTAATTTTTATAATATTTATATTAAATAATTAGAAGTCTTAGATTTTGAGACCATTATACAAAATAAAAAATTCATAAAATACCTATTAACAAATGAAACCTTTATTACACTTGTTTTTATTCGTATACTTCTTGATTATTATTATCCTTATTTTCAATGAAACAGGGTATCGCCCTGGTGGAATATGGCCGATAGATGACCTCAATGATCCGCAAGTTGTATCTGCCGCAAAATTTGCAGTGACAGAATATAATAAGAAGACTAATACAACATTAAACTTTGTAGCCGTTATGAAGGGAAAAGAACATAAGGTTGGAGGATCTCTATACCATCTAGTAATCTCGGCTAAGGACAACATCAATGCAAATCTGAAAGAGTATGAAATAGTGGTTTTTGCACAAGTGTGGTTGAAAAAAAGCCCTTTAAAGCTCGAATCATTTAAACAATTATCCAAGTCGGTCTTTAATTAGTACTCAAATTCTTAACAATAATGTCAATAAAACACATCTATATTCGCTAATATGAGGTCTCGGTTGCTAAAATGAAATTTGAATGTTGATGTTTTCGAGTTTTTCTAATTAATTTTGGGTATGTGTTGCATTATGTTTTAGTAATTTACAGTGAATTTTTAATCATGTCGGAATAATATTGATAAAGAATTCAAAGATTATCCAATCGAAAATATAATATAAATGTAGGCGGGGTACAGAGCGAATTTTGATAAACCCACACCAGCCCCACTAGAAAAATTTCCCACCCATACCCGCCCATTCCTGTTCCGGGTTTTATTTTCTAAAAGATAAATATATTTTAATTCTTAAATTGCTGAATCATTTTATTTTTGATAGGATAGCCGAATTATTTCCGCCGATTCCCATCCAATTCTTTTTCTATTTTGGAACACTATTTTTAATTCCAAATTCTAAAAATCAGATTCAAAAGTTTTCCTGTTTTTTTTTTTGGTCGGAATTAGTATATATATGAGATTCCGATTTACCATCCAATTTTAATTTTCCAGAATAATTCCAAATTTCTATTTTTTTTTTCCCAAAAATTTCTCTTATAATATCAATATTATTACACATTTTAGATTTGAAGAGCCAATAAAATTGAAATTTTCCGTTTGGTGTTTATTTCTACGTTTGAAATTACTCCTTATTCCGATCCGATCCGATCCGATCCGATCCGTCCAATTCACTCCTATGTTTGAACTTACTTCCATCATTCTTTTATTATTTATTTCATCAATTTTATATAATACTATAGATATATTATATTCTATTTATGAATAATAAAAATAAAAATTCTTTATTGAAGTGTTTCTAAATATTTATTTCAATATAATTAATTAGTAAGTTTGACTTATGAACAATTTTTATTCCCTTTTTCAATAAATATGAAAGAGAATATCATCCTTACGGGATATATGAAAGAATTAATATAATTCTCATAATCAATTTACGTGCAAATTGCATAAATACGCGTACATTTTGGTGTTTCCTTGCATTCTTTATTGAAGTAATCATTTTTTATTGAATGAGAACAATCGCATTGCATAGTAACTCCTTTTTATTTATCTATATTTACACTTACCGAGTTATATAAGAATCCCTAATTTAAAAAGTATGTTCATTTGACTTTTGAATAGATTGTTTCTTGAATACCAAAACCTCAATTTCTTTTGAAAGAATTAAAAAAATTGATTTGACAATTTGCATCTTTATAAAAGTGCAACTAAAAATATAAAATTTGTCGCATTAATTATTTTAAAATTAATTCATTGTGGCATTGTTAATGATTTATTGTATTTCGATACTACAAAGTGCTATTAATTTTTTTTAAGGGTGTAAAGTGTCAAAATACTACATTTAAGGGGTGCAAAGTGGAATTAATCCCTATAAATGTAAATTGAGTTTAATGATTTGGTAATGATTGAAATATATATTCGATGATTATTTGTTAAATTTTGCGATATTTATATGGAATCAATTCTGATTTTATATAAATTATTGTTTAACTACGTAAATAATCTATAATAGACTACACCATTACTATTATTATTACAATTACAATTACTATTACTATGATTATTACAATTACTATTACTATTACTATTACTTTTACTATTTGGAATAGCACATTAGTATTAGTATTAGTATTAGTATTAGTATTAGTATTAGTATTAGTATTAGTATTAGTATTAGTATTAATATTAGTATTATTATCTTTTTTTTTTAGGATGAGTATTATTATCAGTATTAGTATGAGTATAGAATATTTTCAATTTTGGAACAATATTTTTCAATCTGAATTCTAAAATTCCGACTTTCAAGTTTTTTCGAAATTAATTGTTGTATTATCACATTAGTATTAGTATTAGTATTAATATTAATTTTAGTTTCAGTATTAGTATTAGTATTAGTATTAGTATTAGTATTAGTATTATTACCAGTATTAGTATGAGTATATATATCAGTGTTAGTATAAGTGTTTAAGTGTTAGTGTTAGTGTTAGTGTTAGTGTTAGTATTGGTATTAGTACGGGTATTAGTATTAATATTGGTATTAGTATTGATATTAATATTGATACTGACATTGACATTGATATTCGGTATGGTTATTCGTATTAATATTGGTATCATATTGCGATTACTATTAGTATTACTATTAGTACTAATATTAGTATTAATATTAATATTAATATTATATTAATATTAGAGGTGGCATGAACTATTATACGTCGCATGTGGAGAGTTAAGAGTAGAGGTGGCATAAAAACGTTCATCAAGCTGGCATATGCAACTAATATTACTTGCAATGTTGTCCACAAGAAAGTTTTTCAAGGAATGTGAATGTACATCATAAAAATTGTATATTGTGATTCAAAGATGCATTTGTTGTTTTTATTATTGATATATATAATTATTTTGCCGTGTTAAGTTTATTTGCATTTTATGCTAATTTTATTGTCGACTCCACTTAATTTTTTTTAAATCAAGTTAATTTATTATAAATTGTATTTATTTCTTATACTTTTAGGTGATTTGTGTTTTTGAGTAATGTGTATCATTGATTGCATTTGAACAATGAAAAATGCATATGTTACTCACAAGATATTAGATGAGTTATAGACGATGTCAATGCATATGCCGTAAAACACTACTTTGATAATTAAGTTTCATGCTAAGGATCCGAGTGTATTGGATGAGATATTTGTATCCTTCGGGTCAGATAATGTATCTTATTTTTTATATCAAAATTTTGGTATTTGATATTTTATTTTATCATTTATTTTGTTTATCTCGATACTTAAATCAAATGGAATTGATATTGTTTTTAAATTTTAAGATTATATCGTATTACATATCAACTGTTTAAAGTTTTTGTTCGATTATTTTATTAATTTAAAACATATTTTTATTTTTTATATTAACTCGTGCATTGCATTAGAATCCTCTTTTCATTAATAAAGGTGTTTAATTTACATCATTGACGTGTTTTAGTCATTAAAAAAATTGTAATTAGAATTAACCACGTGCATCGCACGGATGAGTTACTAGTTATTATATTTTATATAAAGATGATAGTCAATTCATAAATTAAATCCATGCATTGTTCAATGTGTGTATATAAGTTGGCCCGCTCCAATCCAATAAATGCATTCATTCACTCATCACCAATTCTCTTAATTAGCAACAACAATATGAAAGTAATAAAGAAGGATGTTAGGATTGGAAAAGTGGTAATTAACTAACTAACTAACTCGTCTTTAATTTGTTTCATTTATTAATTAGTGAGTGTTAAATAAATTTTAATTAAGATTTTTTTTTCTTCCTTCCTTCTTCTAATTTGATTAATTAATTACAGGTAGTTGTTGAGCGTTTGCGTCTATTGCGGCTGTTGAAGGCATAAATTATATTTGGAATAAAAGATTGATCCCATTGTCCACCCAGAAATTGGTGGATTGTGATACGGGAAACAGACATTGCGATGGGGGATATGCAACCGTAGCATTTCAGTATATCATGGAAAATGGGATCACAACTGATAATAATTACCCGTACGAAGACAAATACGGAAACTTTTGTCAAAATCGAAAAGGTATACTTATATATTTTTAGTGATTCAATATTGTAGTACTTAATGTTTTTATAATTAACTTATTCTTGAATTTCTATATATTGCAGAAAAATAATCCCACGGTGCGGATAAACGGCTACGGTCAAGTTCCTCACGACCGTGAAGATCTGCCGGTGAAAAGTGTCGCTAGGCAACCAACGACGGTAGATAATTAATTAAAGATTTCGTGTTATCACTTATAAGTGTTATGTTATTTCTTTCTATATATTGTTATTGTGTCCCGGGAGTAATGGTGTCGTCCGGGCCGAGGAAGAAAAAGAAATGAGGTTCTCCGTTTTCAAGGAGACAGCCGCCCATGTGACCAGATTCAACAGCCGCCGGCCGGGTGATGACCACGACCAGACGTACACGATGGAGCTCAGCCAGTTCGCTGACTGGACGCCGTCAGAGTTCCGCCGCCGCCGTTGTGCCATACCTCATCATGAACTCGAACAAGGCAACGATTACGATGAAATGATCATGACGACCGAGGCAGAAAATGTTACGTCGTCGTACGGAAACATGAACCACTTGTTGCCAAAGGAGGTTAACTGGGTGAAGAGAGGAGCGGTCACCTCTGTGAAGTCGTATAAATTTATTTCTCCCAACTACGTACAAATATTTTCAATTTGATTTGAAGTTTTTTTAATTGTAATGCGATATATATCGATGTAGCTTGCTGTTGGGCTTTTGCAACGATTGCCGGGGTGGAGGGCATGCATTTCATCAGGACTCGAAAATTGATCACTCTGTCGACACAAGAGTTGGTCGATTGTGAAAGTAAGAATTGCAAGCCTTACAGAGTAGACATTGCTTTTCGGTTTATCAAGAAAAACGGGATCACGACGGATCGGATTTATCCCTACATAGCTAAATATTCGGGATATTGTCACCTTGAAAAGGTATGTACAAAGCACGCGTATTAACAATGAATATGTCGTCGTTCTGGTGTTTGAAATTTTGAGTTTTAACTTATATACTATTATTCAATTTCTATTAAAATGCAGAAAAACAAGCCCGCGGTAAGGATTGATGGCTACTATAGGGTTCGTCGTAATAATGAAAGGGCACTAATGATAGCGGTGGCTAGGCAGCCTGTGGTCGCTTTAATCGAAGCGAGTCCCGACTTTCGTCATTACTCTAAAGTAATAAAGTTTAAAAATCACACGATTCGATTATGCATATTTTTATTATTAATGTATATGAATAACTTATATTTTTGTTCGTTTAATTTTTTTTTTTGTTACAGGGGGTGTTCGCAGGGGAATGCGGCACGGTACAGGATCACGCGGTTACAATCGTTGGTTATGGAACAACTCCATGTGGAATTCCGTACTGGCTGGTGAAGAACTCGTGGGGCCCACAATGGGGAGGCGAAGGAGGCTACATACGTATGAGGCCCAACGTATCCGATAAGAGAGGCCTATGTGGTATTGCTATGGAGGCATACTACCCGTACAAGTACAAGCGAAGTTGAAACCCGAAACTCTATCTATCTATCTATCTATATATCTATCTATCGAACTATATCTGAATAATTCCGGTCATGTAATAAATTAGTATTTGTTCAATGAATATAAATCAATCACTCTTGCTATTATTGTCACACCTACTCTCTTTAATTTAGTGAATTGTGTGAGTTCAATTTTCAATTTTACAAGTTTGAAGTTTGGAACGACGGCGTTTCGAAAAGAGGGGTTTTAGACTTTAGTGTTATTTGCCATTTTTTTAATTAAGAGGATTATTTGTGACTTGCACATGACACTTGTCCATCAGAAATCCCAATACTTTTATTTATTATTATTATTTTTTTAATCAATCTGTAACTTATTTACAACAAATCGCTATTAATTTTAGATTTTGGTACCATTATAAAAAGAGATTAATCACCATACTACATTTTACCATATATCAAACATATGGCGCGTGTCTCTCACTCAATCTTATTGTCCTTCTTGATAGTTTTGGCTGAAGCATCATATTCCGGTGGTGAGGTGGTAGTTTGGCCGATCTGGAATCTAAACGACTCGAAAACGGCATTTGTCGCAAAGTTTGCGGTGGCACAACATAATAAAAAGACCAATACGACCTTGCGCTTTGAAACTATAGTCGACGGAAACTATGAAAGGCTTGCAAACGTGAAATGGAGCTATAGTGTCCATCTAATACTCTTCGCTAAAGATAACAAAATCGCACGTCCCAAAAAATACGGAGCGTCTCTTTTGTACACACCGCCTCTGAAATAACCGAATTCCGCTATGAAGCTCAATAAGTTCCTCAAGAATCCAGGTTAATTAATTAAAAGTTTTTAAGATTATTAACAATTCCGTATTTTTGTATGCTTATTCGTGTTTATTCTTCTTAAGAAGGTTAATACAACCTTACAGTTTACAACCTTACAGTTTATAAGTACTTGAAAGACTCGAAAGTGGTGTGGATTGCCGAATTTGCGGTGGCAGAGTATAATAAGAAGGTTAATACAACCTTACAGTTTATAAGTATTATTAATGGAAAGAGGTATTCAATATCAGGTTATATAAACCATCTACTAATATCAATTAAAGACGAGAGCAACGCGCATCCCAAAACGTATGAAACAGCGGTTTTATATACACCGTGGGAGATAAAGGGGGGCTACAAGCTCGACTCGTTTAAACTATTTAAGTCAATTTGGATTTAAGAATAATTAACAATTTCATGTAATTTCAATTTAGCGAAATTGGCAAAATTCGGAAATTTTCAATTTTTTGTCACCTAAAATATAAAATACATAATAGATAGTATGGTGTTTTAAAACCAGGTCTGAAATCGAAATCTCATATATATTCCGATTATGATCCAAGTAATTTCAGAAAAATTGGAAGCCGGGGATTTCAAAATTTGAATTGTAAAATATTGTTCCAAATAAATAAATAAAATTGAATCTAAAATCGGCAGAAATCGAAAATTATGCTCCAATTTCCGCTCCTAATTGAAAAGCAACATTTCTCCAATCTCCATATCCACATTTATTTTTTCATTCATCAAATTGCTAGACCATGACCTATTCAACGTTAGAAGAGATAGATAGATACTTACACAACATTGTATACCAACACACAATATATATGTATAATTGTATATAAATTAAACAACCGCCCGATAGTTTATTGGACGTGCGGTAGCCCCATCGTTTGCCGATATCACAAACCGAAATTATCGCACCTTAAGCTATCGCCATTCATCCACTAATCAAACTTACAAAGTGCAAATTTGTCTTTGCCTTTCTGTTGTGCTCCTTCACCGCAAACTTTGCTGATGTCATTATCCAAGGCTTGCTTAGGTCATCGATCGGGCACAAACAACTCCCACGCCCTCCTTCTTCTTGGTCACTTGCTTTCTTTTGACCAAACGGAGCCGTCGAAATTAGGAAGAGTACGTATATATAGAAGAAATTGAGATACGAGTGCCATATTTTTTCTTCCGATAATTGTACGTGTGAAATTGATCAATATATAGATTCTATTATTCATAGAGGCGTATTAAAATGTCCATAATGATATAGGTCTATATTTGGTGTAAATAAGTTGAAGATTAGATGAATAATAAATTAGTAGTTATCTGTTATGTAGTATGTTCAATGTGTTGATTAGTGTCTAACAACACGAAAAAGCAAAAAAAATAAAAAAATATAGAGAAAATACTTTTATCTTTAATTTTAACTTTACTTTTAAAATTTAGAGTAAATTACACGTGCACCTCTAAGGTATGCTAAAATATCTCTGTGGTATCAGTAATTACAATTACCCCTGAAATATTGTTAGATGCTCTAACGAGATTATGCATTGGATACGTTATTCTGATAGAGTTCTGACGGACTATTAACTTCAGTACATCTTGGAAACACATAATCAGCTTAATAAACACTACAATTGGGCCACTATGGCATATAAATTCTCTTATGGACTAGTACAAATTTAATTGTAATTTTTTTTAGAAACACAAGGAAGAAGATAAGTGTTACAAAAATCCTTTGCCCTTTTTTTTATTAAAAGGATATTTGTGACTTGTGCATTCAGAATTCAATACTTTTAATTAAATGATAAGTATCAATTCAAGTTCTCTTTAATCTACAACTTATCTATAGTAAAAAGATACATTACTTAAAATTTTGGCACCCCTATAAAATGAAATGATTATACCACAATTTAGCTATCAAATTAAACATGGTGAGTCTATCTTGCTCAATCTTACTGATATTCTTCGTAATTTTGATTGGTCCGATTACCAATGAAGCAACATCTTCGAGTGGTGGTGCGGGTGGCGTGCCAGAATGGCCGATATGGGACATAAAAGATCCGAAGGTGGTATCTCTCGCAAATTTTGCATTGGCCAATACTGTGGTTGGTGGAAAGTTGCACTTGGTGGCTGTAGTCGAGGGAACGTATTCGGTGTTTAAATCTGGAATATTCGAACGTGGCTACAATGTCGACCTAGTAATAGCAGCTAATAATAACAATACCGCTCGACCCAAAAAATTTATAGCATCTATACACTACTGGCCACGAAGAAAGGAGCACTCCATGGAAGTCAAACGCTTCGAGAAGTATACAAGTAAAATTTGTGCTTTTATATTTAAATTCATTATTATTTAGGTAAAAAATCATATTATATTATATTATTTTAATTGAGAGTTTGCATGAATAGTTGTCTATTATACACCTAGTTTCTAAGTGATGACTACCAATTAAATTTTTTCTTCAAAGTTTTTTATAATATTTACATTAAATAATTAGAAGTTTAGGATTTTGAGATAATTATTAAAAAATTATAAAAAAAACACGTAAAATACATACCAACAAATGAAACTCTTATCACACTTATTTTTATTTGTGTACTTGTTGACTTTTTATTCTTCTTCTTCACAATGAAACATAATTTCTCTCACATCCTCTGTCGTGGATAGATAATCTTTATGATCCGACAGTTGTGTCTGCCGCACAATTTGCAGTGGCAGAGTATAATAAGAAGACTAAGACACCATTATATTTTATAAATGTCATCAAGGGAAAACGACTTGTGGTTAGAGGCCAATACAAAGGCGATTTATACCATCTAATAATCTCAGTTACAGACTACACCAAAACGCATCCCAAAAAGTATGAGATAGCGGTTATGGATCAACGGTTGCTGAAAAAAAGTCCTTGGAAGCTCGAATCGTTTAAACAGTTCCCCCATTCGATCTTTAATTAGTATTGGAATTCTCCATATTCATATCAATAAAAATACCTCTATATTTGCTAATATGAGGTCTTGGTTTGTAGAATAAAATTTGAATGTTTATGTTTTCGAGTTTTGTTAATTTTGAATTTGTGTTGCATTACGATTTTTAGTAAGTTACAGTGAATTTCTTGCACCATGCACCAACTTACCACCTCCGGAACCAGTTGAGCTACAACAGTGAATTTCTAATCATGTCCCAATAATATTGATAACAAATTCAAAGATAACCAATAAAAAATATAATATCGATCAGTGATTTAATCAAAATTTTAAATCCCCAATTCCAATTATCAAGCCCCACACCCAATCCTCAATTCTCAATTCGGGTTTAGACCGAACCAAAATCCCCACACAAAACCCCTCTTTGGCAAAACCCTAATTCTCAAATTGAATCCCAAATTAAAAACCCAAAATCTTAACCAATCTGCCCAAATTGAACCCCCTCTCTCAATTAAATATGCATTTCTTATGACTATAGATCATTTTTTGTCTTTATTTTCTTGTACCAAATTTTCCTATTTAATTTCCTATTCACCTATTTTTTCGTATTAAATTTGAAACTCCCTTCACTAAAATTGTAGATTCAATAGTGGATGAAGGCGATGTAGAAGTTGCAAATCAGATCACCGTGCTACGTGCTCTGAAAATCTACACTCAACATGCTCCGATTTTCTTTAAGTATATTTCATGTTAGTGATAGTAACAATTGGAGAAGAGAAACATTCTTATATTTTCTACTCGTATTATTTTATTGTAACATAAGAAAATTAGAAAACTGCACGTGCATTGCACGTATGTATCTATGTATGGAAATTGGATTTTTTTTTTAATTTATGCCGATTCGATCCAAAAGTTTTCGATTTTAGAACATTATATATTGTTCATTATGAATTTCGAAATTCCGTCTTTTTTATTTTTTGGGATCGACACTGGAGTATGTATGAGATTGTGATTTTTAATCCAATTTTAACTTTGGAATATAATTCCGAGAATTTCGATTTTTTGCAATGATTGTCGGGTGGAAGATATGCATTTCATTAGAACGAGAAAGTTGATCACTTTGTCGACCCAAGAATTGGTTGACTGTGAAAGAAAGAACTGCAAAGCATGATACGTAGATGATGCTTTTCCGTTTATTAAGAAGAATGGTATCACTAATTCACTATAGATGCTATTTATCCCTACACGTATAAATACTCGGGATATAATTGTCAC